TTTTGGTAGCTGGGCACCATCAGCTTTCTTCACCACACTTGCTTGTGCACCCATTGTCTTCAGTGACTTCAGGTGTTATATCTTTTGGTAGCCAAGCATCATCCACTTTCTTCACCACATTTTCTTGTGTACCCATTGTCTTCAGAGATCATTCCAGGCAGGTGAGCATCTCAGACTAGTAGCAGTACTTTTTAATCTTACCCTCATACATGTATAATTTGTGTGTCAAACATTAGATAAAATGAAAAAAATATAAAGTTTGTTTTTTTCAAAGTCACTATTGGATATATCTTATTTCCTTTCCAGGTATTTTTGTAGGTAAATGTGTGTTTCTAAATTGAGGACATGGGTTTTTGACACGTAGTTTTAAGTTTCATATTCCATAATATTACATCATAAATATCTCTCCCGTATTATATTCTTCAAAGCAGTGGGGTTTTTTCAAAAGTATCTTATCACATTCCAAGGCAGACCATAATGTATTTTAACTGATTTTCTCTTTGTTGGGCCTTTGTTGTTACGAACATCTTATTATTCTACCCGTGAGGGTACTTAAGTATTTTAATTCACATTATGGTTAGTAGTACACCAGACTACCAGGGCACAGAGCCTTGGAAACCTAAGAGGTTCTTTCTTTTGCCCCATAGAGTCACTGTGAGTTGGAAATCCACTTGATAGCGGTGTTACTGTCCTGCTACAGGGAGAGAATAGTCGCAGGTTGGCACTCAATGAGTTCTAGTACACCTGAAGGGTTAATGCTGAATGCTGGAATCATCCCCCTTGGCTCCTTGTCCTGGCTCTATTCACACGACCTATGCAGCCTGGGAGAAGTTGCTTAAATGTGTTGGACCCAGGGGTGTAAGTGGGATATGTAGCAATTAAATGCATTAATATAGGTAAAGTATAGAACAAAGAGTGCACAGGAAGCTGCTCCTGGTATTATTTGCACAGACTGAATTTTTTAATCAGTTGTTTGTTTTTCCTTTCATATTTAGTATTGCAGAAACTTGGAAAAACTGTTTGGATGGTGCCACAGATTTTAAAGAGGTATGTAATTAATAAAGCTATTGATTTACCAGATAGGCTTAGAATTGCCTTTTTTTTTTTTTTTTTTTTTAATGATTTTGCTCTTCTCTCTTCCTTTTTTTTTTTGGTCTGAAACTTTCAGTTGATTCCTGAATTTTATGGTGATGATACCAGCTTTTTAGTCAATAGCCTAAAATTGGATTTAGGAAAGAGGCAAGGAGGGAAAATGGTTGATGATGTGGATCTTCCTCCCTGGGCTTCAAGTAAGTATTGGAGACATTGAGGTATTTAAATTCTTTACTGAATAGTACAATTTGAGCATTAAAGTATTAATTATTTTTGTTGCTTGGGTTTTTTCCCCCTTATAACTCGCTCATTTTCTGAATGAGGTGAAATCAGTCCCAATTCAAATATTTCCATCTGTCTATAATATAAAAACATTCCTATGTATTTGGGAGATCTAATTTGTTGTGAAAATGGTCTGGCTACTTCCCTGCCGCCACTACCACCACCAAATAAAAGAAATACTTTATATGATAAGAGGAAAGTACCGTATTTAACCTATGTACTGTTGCCTATTCTAGAAGCTTTACCTAAATAGGCAGTGGCAAGAGAAGTAGACAAAACAGAATGGAGACTGACTTCGTGACTTGGTTTGGTCCGCTAGGCCCTGAGGACTTCCTCCAGAAGAACAGAGATGGCCTGGAAAGCAGCTACGTGTCAGAGCATCTTCATGAATGGATTGATCTTATATTTGGCTATAAGCAAAAAGGGAGTAATGCTGTCGAGGCGCAGAATGGTATGCAAACTCATTTACATTTTATTTGGTGTTTGGGAGAAACAAAAACATAGACAAGATGTTAGGTCCGAGTAGTTCAGCTTCTTTCTTTAGCAGAAGGAACGTTGATCAGAAAATAGTGTTTATGGCTCAGTGACAGTGGATGAGATACAGAGTCAAAGAGAGGAAACATGTTTACCTAAGATCACCTACTCACCGTGACTCCATCAGATTCTTCAGAGATTTTTCTAAGATAATTTTAGATGTGCTCTTCATCCCATTCAACATGATACTCCAGTGCCCTCAATTCCATCGAAAGGCCCGGAGTTTCTCTTCACTCAAGTCCCAGGTTCCCTGAAGACTTTTCTTCATATTCGGTTTTCACCTGCCTCTAATTTTTTGAGTATTGATAACAAGATGTGACCTGGAAATCCAGACTTGATTACTCCCATGGCTTTGCAGGGTAAAAACAAGATCAGTTCTGCTTCCCCTAAGGAGAAAGAATATTGACTGAGAAACAAACCAAGATAACTAGTTATTGAACCTATCCGAATTTTATGCAGTGAAAGATAATTCCAATAGCTACTGAGTTAGACATTAGTCTATTGTACAAAGCAAATGTCAGTCTCTTGGAGCACAAATTTATAGTTGTTAAGTTGTTTAACTTTTGAGGAGAGTGTATATTGCAATGAAATATAATCTTCAATAGTGTTCTATGCCTCTCTTTTCAGTGTTTCATCCTCTGACCTATGAAGGAGGCGTTGATTTGAACAGGTAACTAATAGGTCTATGAAGAGTTTCTACTTGACTTACAAAATACCTCTGAGTTATTTAATTGTACCAACCTGGCCGATTAACACGTGGGGCTAATTGAAAGGCGGAGGGATAAATGGGTGCTGAGCCTCGCCTTTCTAGTTCTCGAGTCTCTTGCTTTGTGATGGTGGCACCAGGATGCAGCTGCCTTAGCAGTTCCCTGCTTCAGCTTGCAAGATTGACTTCCTGCAAGACATCCTCAAGGAGAAGCTACATGGACCTATCCCGATGCAGCCCTGGTTGCTGGAGCAGCCATGTGGAGACCCCTGCTAGTGCTGAGATGCTTATTAGTCTGGGTACTTTAGAGAAACAAATCCACAGCAACTCATGTATAAGAGAGTTTTATGTAAAGAAAGTGCATCAAGAAAACATGCCAACCCAATGCTGCCCAAGCCCACAAGTCCAACATTAACCCATAAACCCAACACCAGTCCACAAAGTCCTCCACCTCACAAAACAGAGGCAATGATGCCGACGGCAGGAGGAAAGCTGAGTCAGTGAACGAATAAGCATCTCAGCACTAGCAGGGGTCTCCACACGGCTGCTCCAGCACCCAGGGCTGCATCGGGATAGGTCCATGTGTCTTGTAGGAAGTCAATCTTGCAAGCTGAAGCAGGGAACTGCTAAGGCAGCTGCACCCTGGTGCGACCATCACAAAGCAAGAGACCTGAGAACTAGAAAGGCGAGGCTCACCACCCATTTATCCCTCCGCCTTTCAATTAGCCCCACATGTGTTAATCGGCCAGGTTGGCACAATTAACTAACTCAACCTCTTTATCTAAATGATTACTGTAGTTATTTGAGAGTGTTAAAGATGAAAATGTTACAATGAATGATACCATGCTTTCATCATTATGTAAGTTATTGAACCTCAGAAAATTATCTAGAGGTCTTTGATGTGGTTCAGACAATCTTGGCATATAGTTGCTGTTTTTAATCAAGGGTCCTTTCTCATATTAGTATGTTGCTTAGTGGACATGTGTCTCAGGCACTTTCACCTGGAGGCTCACCACATGGTTTGTGTTCTGTCTGAAGCATTGAGGATCCTGACGAGAAAGTAGCTATGCTGACTCAAATACTGGAATTTGGGCAGACGCCAAAGCAGCTGTTTGTGACCCCACATCCTCGAAGGATCACTCCGAAGTTTAAAAGTTTGCCCCAAACGTCTAGTCATAATGCATCTGTGGAAGATTTCCCAGGTAAATGTAAAGAATGTAGATGTGAGTACTTTCTGTTTCTACTCTGTTATGAGGATAGTTCTGAGGATGAGACAAACCATGAGTTGGTGGGCTCCTTCAGGATCACTGCGTTTACTGTCTTATTGTAGTTCTCATGAAAACCGACTATTGACTTTCAAAGAAGACAAATGGCTTTTGTTTTCTAGTAATTTAGCTTGAGTGAGATAGGACATTTTCTTGATAAGTTCACTCCTTTCCTGTTGGTACTTCCCGGCCATGACTAGTTTGGGCCACTGCCTTCAATGTGCCACCCCAGGGTGGTGTTTCCCCATGCAGATCTTCAGTTCTAAGTGTACTGTCTCCTTTGGTTCCAGTTTCCTTATTTGAAATCATTAAGGGAGAGTATCTGCTGTGTGCTGAGCTCGCAATGGAACGCAACCCCATTCTCACACCTTGTCATACTCACCTTCATCCAATTATCCATGTTTCATAGTCTAAAAGACAGGTCAAACTTCAGGCTCCCAGGAGGCATTTGATACTGTATTATGGCAAAATAGTTGCAATTCATATTATTGCCACTTCTATCTGCTGTCTGTCTGTCGTGCTTTTGGATTCCTCAGACCCACACAGCTGAGAGCTCTCTACTTACTCCTAGTTGGCCAAAGAGCTGACTGCAGTCACATGATTCATAAGTAACTTGTCCTTTATAAGAAGGTACCCCATAAGGTTCAGTGATAAAGACCATAGGGCTACCTGGTTTTGCCATTCAAACTCATGCTGCTTGGTTACCATCCCTGTAAGCACTGTCACATAAGTGTTGTAAAGGGCAGTTGTCCCAGCCCTGCATGAAAACAGCATGAAAGCCAGCCCTCGAGCAGGAACCCACAGAGAAAACTCCAGGAGGCACACGAAGCAATTAACTTGACCTCTTTTTCTGCCTCTCAAAGCCCAAACAAAACTGCAGTGGTCTTGGGGAACTGCTTGATCTTTGCAAGGATTTCTGACAAGGAAGTGGTTGCTCAGTGTTATATTGCCTCAAGTCCTTAAGTGAAAACCTTGAAAATATTGATGAAATTTTAAAAGTTCATAGTATTTAAAGCTACTTTACTACTTTACACTACAGATTTTCTTGAGCATCTAGTGTTTATCTTGACTAACCTGGAGTTCTCTAACGTACATTTTTTGAAGGGTGGTTTTTGCTCACTGTTTGATTTTGATAGGAATCTTGGTGTATCAGATGCTCGTTGTTCCTTACTGTTAGGCCACTCACTTAGCAACTATTTTATGTAGTGTCTCCAGGCGAAGAGTCCTTTGAAGACTTGACGGAAGAAAGCAAAAGCCTTGCTTGGATGAACATTGCCAAGTTGCAGTTATACGAGCAGTATAAGATCCACAAAGAGTAAGTGCAGCATCCGGCCTTTTCTTGGAGCTTTGCAAAAGTGGCACCTTAGCTTAGAGCTAAACTTTTAAACACTGAGTTAAGGGGAAGCTCTCTGTAGAACCTTGACCTGTTCTGATCCATGGTCATAGAAACACAGTTAACATGTTCATGATATGTACACGGTGGGTGTGTGGGTCTCATTTAAATCAGTAGTGTCAGGTCAGAGTACGGCTTCCTGAAAAGACATAGGTGATCTCTTATTCACTCTAAGAATAAGCTCTCTTTTCTCAACTCCTATATATGGTAAGGAGAAAGGGACCTTCCATTCAAAGGAAGTGAAGATTGAATCGATAGAATATGCCGGAACCAGACACTTTATCATCATCGAACAGAAGCTAAAATACTAGGTGTCTTGGTTATCTAGTGCTGCTGTAACAGAAATACACAAGTGGGTGGCTTTAACAAACAGTCCATTTATTTTCTCCGAGTATGCTAGACTGTGTGGATTCTAAGGGAGGCCCCTCTTTCTTCACTCTGCTTTGGCAAAGGTGCTTGACGCTTCATTTTTGGTTCCTTGATTTCTTTTTTTTTTTTTT